CTCCCATGCCAGGACAGTCACCATCAGCCCATCAGTGATCCCATGGCTACCTCCCATGCCAGGACAGACACCATCAGCCTGTCAGTGACCCCATGGCCACCTCCCATGCCAGGACAGATACCACCAGCCCATCAGTGACCCCATGGCCACCTCCCATGCCAGGATAGTCATTATAGCTCATCAGTGACCCTAAAGTCACCTCCGATGCCAGGACAGACACCACCAGCCCATCAGCAACCCCATGGCCACCTCCACACCAGGACAGAGACCAACAGCCCATCAACAACCCAATAGCCACCTCTCACACTAGGGCAGACACCATCAGCCCGTCAGCAACCCCTCTTCATGGAGGACAGACAGCCTCATGACCACCCTCTACAGAGCTCTAGGGGCAGCTGTAGCTGCTGACCCAGCTGGTCAGAAGACAAATTCTATTGGCCATGAGACACCAGGCCATTCACTCATTTATTCACTCATTCATTAACACAACCACTTTCTGATGCCTTTACTGTATGCTCAGTCCTGTGGGGACTTTAGAGGTTGCCCGCCTCTGAGCATACAGTAAATGTCCTGTGGACAGCTTCTGACCTCAGGTTGTTGGTTAAGTTAGGCTGTATTAGAAATAAAACAAAAATATGTATGTTAAGTCTCAGATTAGTAAAGGATGCAATTACAAAGCAGAACGAGAGTAGAATCTCCTGGGGACTTCCCAGAAGGAAGAAAATCCTGACGTAAAGAGTGTATTATTCATTTATTGATTTAACAAATATCTGTTTCCTGGCTGTGATCTTCAAGGCCCATGTTTGGGCTTTGTAAGAAACACAAGTGTAGAGTATGGATTGTGTTCACTGGGAGGGTGTGTGTGTGTGTGCATGTCTGTGCACGCATCTCTGTGTGCATGTGTGTGTGCGTGCATGAGTGTGTGAATGTGTGCATGCATCTGTGCATGTGTGTGTACATATGTCTGTGTGCATGAGTGTGCACGTGTGTATGAATGTGTGTGTGCATGTGTGTGTGTGTGCAGCCAAGCACAGGTGTGCATGTGGGTACAGGAGAGGAGCAGGCTGCTCTAAAGCCCCGTGAGGTGTCAGCGGGGTGCTAGGCCAGGCTCTTCACATGCATTGTCCGATCGACGAAGAAAGTCTGTCCTCTCTGTCTTTTAGGTGAGGAAACCAAGGCACAGAGACGTTAAGAAACTCTCTGTGGTCACTCAGCAAGTGACTAGCAGAGCCTGGATGCAGCTGGACTTCTCTCACTGTGTGTGTCTGTAAAGAATTCAGGCCAGGTGCGGTGGCTCACTCCTGTAATCTCAGCACTTTGGGAGGCCAAGGTGGGTGGATCACCTGAGGTTTGAAACCAGGCTGACAAATATGGTGAAACCCTGTCTCTACTAAAAATACAAAAATTAGCCAGGCTGTGGTAGTGCACACCTATAAGTCCAGTTACTCAGGAGGCTGAGGCAGGAGAATTCCTTGAACTGGGAGGCAGAGGTTTGCAGTGAGCCGAGACTGTGCCACTGCACTCCAGCCTGGGTGAGAGAGGGAGACCCTGTCTCAAAAAAGCAAAACAAAGAATTCAATGTGCACCATCTCATCACAGTGAGTGCCATGGAGGGTGTGATGCAGTGCTGCGCAGCTCGGGAGCAGAGACAGGGATGTGGATGGTCTGGGTGGGGGTGTCTTCTAGGTCTCGGTGGTGGCCCTTCTCTGGGCCTGCTCGGATGGGAGGGCTGAGGCGGCAGAGGCCATGCTAGGCTTTGTAGGTGTATCTTGAGTCCAGGGCTTGCCTGGATTTCTACAGCTGTTTCCAAGTGCGGGGTACTCTGGGTTGGGTGGCAGATCCTCCCCCAACCCCCACATCAGAGCTGGTGCAAATGTATGGTCCACACAGGAGCCCGGCCCATCTTGTGACTTGGCACTCAAGGTGGGAGGCTGGCTGTGTGCACCGGAGGCTGACCCTCCTGCCCAGGTGCTGGTGAGGGCAGAGCATGCATCCTGTGGAGGCGGGGATGTTGGGAGCCTCTGCTCCACTGTCCCATCAGAGTTTATTTACTAAACACAAATTCAAAGGCAATTATTAAGATTCTCAAGAAAGTGACCACAGAGCTGTGGCAGCCACGTGCAGGGCCCCTTCTGAACATGGGCACTGCATAGCTGAGTGGTTGCCCACCCAGGCAGCTGGCCCTGTGGCTGAGGCGTGGACATAGCCCCAAGGAATTCAAGCCATTTGGGTGGCTGGAGTGTGCTCAGGTCTTGAACCTGGAGAGGTGACTGCTGAGGCCCCACCACTGAGGTAAGCTTTTGCCGCTGGCCTGAAGCAAGGCCCCCATCAAATAAGCAACTTCTCTAAAATACCTGGGTTCACCTACCGGGCCGTTTTATTTTGCTGTTCTGTCCTTTTATTACCTTTACAAAAACCACTTTTGCAAAACTGTAGAGAGATTACAAATTCTAGAATGAAGGCGGGGGCTGGGGATTGAGCAGATTGCCTGCTGTGTCCACAGATCTTCATGCTATTCTACATCTGCTGGAGTGGGACAGGCTTGGGGCTGCTACCCCTGGGGATCAGACATTTCTGTGACAGAGGAGCCCTCCTGCTAACTGCTGTATTTAAAAGCCCCAAGAAAGAGCAGTCTCAAGGGGAGTCCAGCTGGGGCCTGGGACCTGCATTTATCACAAAGCTGCCTCAAAGAAAACGCCTGGGGCGCACCTCGCTCCAGGAGGAGAATGGCCAAGGGTGCAGCAGAGTGGATGGGAAACACCTGTCCTCGGGCAGGCAGGCTGGCCAGGCATTGTTCTCTATTTGCGTGTTTTCCTTTCAGTTCATTCAAACTCAATATAGTGGTGAAATTAAGTACATCATCAACCCAAAGCTACCAAACCAAATACATAAATGGAAGGATTTGAAAAATCTGTAATAGCTGGGGTGAGGCTGGCCTCGGGCCAGCTGGGCTGCCTGGACAATGGAGGCAGTGTGCGTGCGAGGGCCAAGGCGGGAGGGCGAGTTTCCACCCCGGGGTGGCCTGGGGATCTGATCCAGCCTGAGGAAGGGCTTGGGTGGAGCCCCGAGGTGGCTGGAGGGCTGCCGGGGTGGGGAGACTCTAACCTGCAGACGTGAGCCCCCAAAGCGGGCTGTCGTCAGGTGGGCCGCGGGGGGAGCCGAGCTGTGTGGGAAGCAGGGGCGGCAGGATCCGGAGGGGGAAGGTGTGGAAATTCGACACAAATGCAAATGTTTTACTTTCTAAATCACCTTGGTCTTGCAGTTGAAATTCTCCCTGAACTTCCCACCCCAAATGTCTCATGGAGGGGGAGTCTGGGCAGTTTCTCGCTTTCCAAAGTCACAAGTCATAATTCTTTCTTCCTGCTGCAGCCGGCGCAGGCTGATTTCTGAATGTGCTGCTGAGATGGTGTGAAAATCTCTGAGAGTATCTGGGGGACCCTCCGCCTCCACCCCTGCCCAGACCCCGCAGAGACTGGGGGACTCTGCAGGGTGGTTCCGTGTAGGGTTCTGCGTTCCCAAGGAACCCCATTAGCCAGGAGGGCCCAGGGCTCCTGTGCCCTCAGATGCGATTCACTGACCACCTTCAGCCTAAAGTGACTTTTGAGATCCCGAGGCCAGGTAGCGCATTGACTCAGGCCACACTGAGCACCCGTCTGCCCTCTGTGCGATGCTTGTGCACGCTGGTCACTGTGGCATCCCAGGAGCCGGCCTCCCACTGCTGCCGGGTGTCCCAGATGCCTGGACACTCCTGGTACTCAGGGACTGGGACACGTGACCCTGCTCGGCACCCACAGTCAGCCCTGGACTCAGGAGCCAGAACCACCAGAGGCACCCGGGTCCCACCCAGCCTGTCTCCTGGTTCCTTCTCGGTTCCCAGGCCCCTTAGTGTCCCAAGGCAGCTGCAGGAAGGGGCTGCCCAAAGGCCACATGGCTTCCCAGGGTTGCAGCAACAAATTACCACACACCCAGTGGCTTAAAGCAACACTCATTTACTCTCTTACACTTCTGGGCTCAGGAGTCCACAGGGGATCCTTCTAGGGGCTCTGAGGGGAAAATACATTTCTTTGTCTTTTCTGGCTTCTGCAGTTCCTTCATCCAGAGCCCTCCCCCCTCTTCCAGCCTCTTGTGTCTGTGGCCACGTCACCTACTGCAGGGCTGCAGTGGGCTGCGTGGCTGCCCCCAAAAACATTCTTGCCCTAATCCCCGGACCCTGTGACTGTAACCTCATATGGCAAACAGTGGTCCAAACCTTTTTGGCATAGGGGACCAGTTTCCTGGAAGACAATCTTTCCACAGACCCAAGGGGAGGGGGGATGTTTGAAACTGTTCCGCCTCAGATCATCAGGCATTAGATTCTCACAAGGAGCAAGCAACCCAGATCCCACGCACCCGCAGTGCACAGGAGGGGGTCGCTCCAATAAGAATCCAATGATCTGACAGGAGGCGGAGCTCAGACCGCACAGGCGCTAATGCTTGCTCATCCGCCCTCACAGGGTTCCCAACAGGCCACAGCCGGGGGTTCGGGGACCCCCGTAGTCTGTTCTAGCTGCTATAACAAAATGCCATAGATTGAGGGGCTTAGAATCAACAGAAAGTATTTCTCACAGTTCTGGAGCCTGGCAAGTCCAAGATCAAGGTGCTGGCAGATGCGGTGTCTGGAGAGGACCCCAATTCTGACTCGCAGGCTAGTTACCTTCTCCCTGTGCCTTCCCACGGTGGAAGGGCCAGCGCAGGCTCTGGGGCCCCATAGTGAGGCTCTGATCCCATCCACGGGACTTCACGCTGTGACTTCGTCACCTCCCAGAGTCCTGGCTCCTGACCCATCAAATGGGGAGTTACGTTTCAACACGTGCATTCTGGGAGGACAGAGACAGATCACAGTAAGGGGCTTTGCGGATGTGGTTGGTTCAAGGGTTTTGGGATGGGGAGATGATCCTGCAGGGGCCCTGGAGGCTGGGAATGGCAGGGAAAGGCATTCTCCCTCGAACCTTCACGAGGATCCAGCCTCGCTGGCAACTTGATTTTATCCTAGAGAGGCTGATTTTTTTATTTCTGAGCTTCAGACTGTGAGAAAATAAATTCATATTGTTTTGAGCCACTACATTGTGGTACTTGTTACAGCAGCGAGAGGAAACGGAAGCAGGCGGCCTCAGCATTCCACATAGGAGGAACTTAGGGAAGCCGCTGAGGTTTTCACGTGAAGCTGCCTGTACTTGCAGACGATTTTCACTGAGAATCGATGTGATTCAGGGTGCTAGGGCTGTGCGTGTGTGAGACAAGATTCAGGGCTAATGCCCTCCACAGCACGATTGCCAACACCCACCCCCAGACGTTTGCATTTTCCTGCCAAGGTTTATATTAAATAATAGTCTCAATCTTTATCTTGGCTCTAACTCCACACCTATCTAGATTTTTGGAAACTTTATTTCTTTAAAAATTTACTTGTTCTTTTTATTCGTTATACATGCAGAGAATTTAAAGGCAAAACAGCAGCCCTTCCACAGGCCTGTCACACTGCTCCTCTTTCTGGGGGCAAACGCTTTTGAGTCCTTCAGCCAATTATTTTCATATTTACATGGGATATCTTAGAATAACATGCTCCTGTTGCCACTTCTGATTTTTCACCTTGGGTATTGTCTGCTGGATTCCTCCAGGGCAGGCTCCAGTTCTCTCTTCACCCTTGACCCACATTCTGTCCTCTGCTCTCTCTATCTGTCTCTCTCTACTCCCTGCTTCCTTCCTTCCTTCCTCTCTCTCTCTTTCTTTCTTCTCTCTCTTTTATTTCTCTCCCCCTCCCCTCCCCTCCCCTCCCCTCCCCTCTCACAGTTTTGCTCTTGTTGCCCAGGCTGGACTGCAATGGCAAAATTTCCACTCACTGTAACCTTTGCCTCCCCGGTTAAAGTGATTCTCCTGCCTCAGCCTCCTGAGTAGCTGGGATTATAGACGTGAGCCACCATGCCCGGCTAATTTTGGTATTTTTAGTAGAGATGGGGTTTCCAGGCTGGTCTTAAGCTCCTGACCTCAGGTGATCTGCCTGCCTTGGCCCTGCAAAGTGCTAGGATTACAGGCATGAGCCACTGTGCCTGTCTGGTTTCTGGCCTCTGAGGTTGTGGTTGAGAAGTCCTAGCATCTTCCTGGTTCCAATCCATTGTGAAACCTCCTTGTTTTTCTCTGGATACTTGTAGGAGCTTGTATTTGCACCCGGGTTATGAATTGTCACAGGAGGAGTCTCTGAGTGGGTCTCCCTGCACGACCCCCACAGGGGATCGCTGGGCCCTCTGATGTAGGAAAAAGCCTCGGCTTTTCTTCCAGTATCGTCTGTCC